GTAATTGAACTGCAGTCAGAAGTATTATTGACATTCGTTGATGTAGCGTTTGCTTTAGCGCGATTGTTGAAAATAAGTGTATCGTAAAGTTGTAATTCGGAAAGAATAAACCAGTTTTATTAAGTAAGGACTTGTGTCGCTAAAGTTTCGTCGGAACGAAGTTACGGAAAGTTAATTAACAAACGGAGACGTAACAGTATAAATAAACATTGATGAAAGAAAGGCATTAGTCAAAAATATCCCAAAAATTTCATATTTTCAAGCTTTCACAATTGATATTTACTATCAGTATCATAAACACAAAGAATTAAGAACTTCAATAATTTGTATTAAAAAATAACTTAAACAACTGTCAAAACTAAATTAAGTTTTAATAAAAATCATACTTTTATTTCTTTTATAATATGTATGTGAGTATTCTAGAAAAATATGCTGTGAAATCACAGTTTTATAAAATCAAATGCATGACACTTTTAATGCTACACTCTCCTCATGCAAAACTCCTCGTTGATTAGGTTTTATATCACACAGTTTTTGATCTTATAAAGTGAAACCTAAAAAACATCTAAAGATAATTAAATGTGAATAATTAAAAACAATCAAAAATGCAGCAGATCTGGCTTGTCAGTAATCCTTTTTTCTCAACAAGAACTACCTGAAACTACTCAATGTTTCAGCAGCTCTGATGTCTCGAGTGTAAGTGAAAAAAATAATAAACTTTTCTTATGATTAGTATTCTATATGATCATGTAAATCTAATTATTAATTAATAACTTTTATTAATTAGATGCTAATAATTTATTAGTTTTTATCCTATGTTTCAGATGCTAATCTGCTGCCTATTTGGGAAGGTTCTGAGAGGGACTACCTTTTGTGTTAGTAGTGGTCAGGATTCAATCCTGGGTCCCCTTCATAGAAGTCTTGACTGGGATCTTCCCCTATTAGAGCTTGAATCAACTAACTATTTGAATGTTTTGAAGAGGTTTTGATGAGTTCTATGCTGGGTTGACTGAGAGTGTTATCAGATAGACAGATGCAGAAGGCTTCTTTTATCTTTCTTTTTCTCATATGTAATTTATACCCTATGATTAAGTAATATTCCAATTTATAGTATGATCTTTTTCTGATAGGTCTCTAAGTGGAACATTTCAAACTTGACACACTCAAAACATATTTGATTCAGAAACGTTGATGTTCCATTTGTAATATGGCAATACACTACAGACAAGATTCAAGAATCCATGATCCACCCGAACATGCAATGTCCTGTGATATAATTTACAATGGAAAATTCTTTGACATGATAGTTAACAAGACACAGCTCATATAACATAAGAGTGTAAAGGAAACCCACAAATATGGGGAAATACCAAGACAAAAACAAACCACCCAAACAGTGTAAATACAGGCATCATAGACTATGTAGTTTCAAGAATGAACAAGATTTGTAATTTCAAAAAAGCTAAGAATATGGAAGAAAAACGTCACTATAATTATCCCTAACACTGAATACTTACAATACTTACTGAAGAAAATACTAAAGAAGATAAACACAAATAAGATTATAGATAAACAGCCACATTCCCTTATGTCAGAGGGCTCTCTGAAATTGTACAGTTTATGTAAATAGCATAAAGTTAGACCAGTATTCAAAAGCCACATCACAATCTGATCACAATATGTACACACCAATCTACCTAAAGACCCAACGAGGTGGAAAAACACCATTTACAGAATCCTCTATAAATGTGGATATCAATACATTGGAAAAACGAAAAAAACTAACAAAAGACAGAATTCAGAATTTGACATCGTGTAAAAAAAGAAGTCCATACTATAAATTGGAATAACACTGAAATAATATGATATGAATTACACATGAGAAAAAAAGAAAAGAAGCCTTATGTAAGTACAGTATAAAAGTCAGCAAAACCTATTTAAAACATTTAAATAGTTGATTCAAGATCTAAAGGGAAATACAAAGACTCCAACTGAGTGGAAAATACACCAGACTTCATCAAGAAGACCCTGGACCAAATATTGGTCACCACCAACACAGAAACTAGGCTTTCTCAGGGCATATCTGAAGATAAGAGCACATTCACAGCCAAAATGTGGGATAAAAACTAGTTAGTTATTAGTATATAATTAATAATAAGAAGTTGATAATTAATCATTAAAATAAAGTGATTGTATTGGCTACTAACCATGACAATGACTGATATCAAATTGCCACTACCTTAAAATAAGTATTTAACATAATAAATGTTCTAAAAATGGTTTAAGAAAACAAATAGATCATGCAATACCTATGTGTTGTTGGTGACATGTGACAGATACTAACTGGCAGTCTTAAAAAATACTGCCTGAAATCAAGTAATGGTGTAATAGCTTTACTTACTAATAACATAAGGAACATTAAACTAGAACTGCCTCACATCAGTATTGACTCTATAGCTCAACAATAAATAGATCAAAATTAACTGCTACTTCCAGAAAAACATTATTCAAACACATCTGATTGTGCAAAAGCTGAATTATTAGTAAGAAATAAATAAATTTCTCAACATCTAAATTGAGTATTATTTAAAGATCAGTTGATTGTACAACAGCTCTGACATTTGAATTAAGTACTATTTAAAAATCAGTTAATAGTACAACAGCTTTGACTGAACAATATATAATGGCAATTTCAATAAATATATGGACAAATCTTTCTTGAAATTAATAAATGGTGCAACAGCTCAGACTTGAAAATAAAACATTTACGAACATCAAAACAATTGGTATTTCAAATCAATAGATGGTGTAACAGATCTAACTGAATATTGGCCAATGTAACTTTAGTTAAAAATTTAAAATCAATGGTCCAATAACAACTAATTTGTTAGTAAAATAAAATAATAATATTAACACACAAAAAATCTATACTTAAAACCAACCAATGGTATAGCAATAGATTATTAACAACAAGTGGCAAAGATTAACTGATATTTTTAATAAGTGCTGTCCCAAACTAAAGAGCTTTGAGTTTTTTATAATAAATAAGAATATTAGTCAACATTAAAAAAACAAAAAGACTACTTGGAATAAACAAAAAGAGCAACAGCTTCTCTGTAACATAATTCTATATCAATTAACTTTAAAGCAACAAATACCTGAAACCAATCGATAGTGCAGCAGTTTACCAAAGAGGGAAATCTGCGAAGTCGAGTCCTGAAAGAATCCCCTATGGGGCTCATAGCTAGAACTACATGAAGTTGTTCTCTGACTCGTTGAAGAAACATGTTAAATAGTGCAACTGGAGAGCCATCTGTCTGTTGGGCTCTGTCTCGTTGTCTACAAATAAATATTAATAAAATTTACTCTTACCCATTTCAGTTTATTTTTCTATCAGACACTCGAACTATACACACATACATATTAGAATTATGAAATAACTCCAAATGTTAGATAAGTTATCTAACAACTTTTCAAATTTTATGAAAGGTTGTAATAACAGTCATCAAACGTTTCTACAGATTATATTTATTCATAATTATGTATATTTTTAAGAACTGCAAGTTAATTAATACACTATGTTCCCAATAAATAGTGTCTTTCTTCAGTTTCATTAGAAAGACATTATAGTCCTGTTTATTGAATCTGTTTCATTGTGTGAATCTAAGTAAATATATAAGGTTTAGTACAAAAAAAGAGTACTAACATTAAGCATTAAATTATCTACATATACATCACAATATGTAATATATTACATCTTAATTGTATTATGCATTATTGATTACAATAACCTGTCTATCTGTCTCATTTTCTCACAAATTTCTTGTTTCTCATCAGGAGCAAACAGATTGGGAACTTCTCCAGCATTCAACAAATTGTTGATATCTTCTACAAAAGATTCCTCCTTGATCTGGGTATCAGAAAACAAAAAGACTCCATGCTGTTCACTGGAAGTTGACTTTCTCAGGATATGCTTCAAGTCTTCACGCCACTCAGATTTTGTATAACCTTTACTAATTTCCACCTAATAAACAAAAGGAAATCCTAGCATATTTTATGTAGTAAAATATTTTTGATAGCTATGTATGAATAACTTCCACATTAATTAATAGTAAAAAAATATAATTTAATGATAAGGTTCAAGAATGGGATTACTTCACACTATGTACTAAATAGAATACCAAAATAAAAACCTTACCAGCACACAGGTAACTTGTATGTTATTATTATTATTACACATTTAATTGTTGTATATAATCAATAAAAGAAGTTCTGGGTCTAAAGCAAGACCTACTTGAAATATTTCATAATCAGCAATATGAGCAGCTAGACGAGTCATAGACTGTCGACCTGACCCTCCCACTCCAACTAACAGAGCATGGCTCCGAGGTTGCTTCAAAATTCGAGATATTCTACATAGGTGTTCTATAGCAAATCTGTAATAACATACAAATTTTTTTAACATAAGTTGTATATAATAAATGTGCAATGGTAATACAGATTATTCCATACAGGCATCTATACAGATAATAAAAAAACACTGAGATGACTCTGGGTTTTTGGCTCTCTATCATCAAACATTTAAATAATTTTTTTTATTTTAAAATATTTTGTAACGATAACTTATAGAGTGCAGAGGTTACTTAATTGTTTGTTTATGTCATGTCACTTTTGCAGTATGTGTGTGATGAATAACGAATTTCCTTCCAAATGTAAAACAATTAAATGTAAGCTGTTATTGTAAAGATTAATAAAGAGAACTGGGAAATTACTACAAAAAATTACATTAAGAGTACTGTAAACGGTTTTGGGAATTGAAACATTTGCTATGAAACCAGCTCGATGTTCACATATAGTATATATTGATGGTCAAGATAGGAGAGTGCTATCAGGGACAGTGACAGCCATTGTAGAACAAAGCCAGTATCCAAAAACTTGGTTTCTTTAACTAGATAAACTTGTCTTGACTGAAAATTGTTTTCAAGTAGGTAAGGCTGGGTGAAGTTGGTTTCTTTATAATATTTTCTTAGTTAAAGAGCTAGCATTTTTAACAGTTTTTCAGAAATGTGTCTATGGATTACATGTGATGATAAAAAACTACTTAAAAATAATTTAATATACACTATGCATAAGCAAGCACTAACAAGAATACTTGTGTTAATAAAATGTTAGTCACAAGAGATAACACATGAAATCTATCTGGTTATAAATATGAATGAATTTAAATTTAAATCTGAATGAAGTGCTTTAATACATGTTTCTTGTTTGTCTCTCCTTGACATGTTTATTTAAAAAATGATAATTGTCTTTGTGTGAATAATTTTGTTTCTAGGAAATGACTTTTGTGTGACATACTAACACACTTAGATAAATAAACTCAATAGCATAACCTAATATCAAAGGGATATACATTAAAATGTATCCTAGAAAGCATACGCAAGAGCCCAGAAGACTGTAATATCAACTGATGTTTGGGCATTGTAAAGAGAATTCTTGGTGAAATTTGAAAATATGAACACATTTTTTTTCAATCCTTTAAATTTTCCTTTCCTGTAAAAATTATATTGTAAATGAAAATGATTCTTACCAATTTACAAGAATTGATATAGTTGGCTTATTATAGTGCATAATATTCTACACTGATATTTAAAGAAATTTTATAATAATACAGAATCAGGTGACAGTTATATACAAAAAAGGGATTCTGTAAAATTTAAAATATCTAGTTCAAAAGAAATATCAGTTATATAATTTCTAATTAATGGAAGGATATTGGGAAAGGGAAACGTTTTTTTTATATATATATGTTAGAAAAAAAATCAGACAAGAAGTTCAATTTAAAGACTTGTATAAATAACTGCAAAAATTCACTGAGTAACCATTTTTGTGCCTTAGGAAACAACTATTTTAATCCATTTTGTTTCTAAAGAATTAAAGCATGAAAACAACCATTTCACTTTTAATAATAACTGTATGGCACAAAAAACAAAAGTTATAATTTTTCTATACTGAAAATGTATTTCTGATAGGTGATTCCCTCCACTCACAAGATTAGCTGTTCAGTGCTGCCCTCTATATACAAACTTTTTTGAATGCATGCCACAAGCCTTTTTGCTCCCCCCCTATTGCAATCTTGTGATTCCAACATGTCTCTCATGCAAATCATCATGCATCACCTATCAACCAATAGGAACATAATACACTCACGTGATGCATGTGACAATCTCTATGTGCCTCTACCAAACTATCATTTTGAGGTCTGGCAGATGATGAAAGCACTGGAAGTGAGTGGGGAGTAAGGGTGTGAAGTACTTATTAGAAATACATTTTCAGTATAGGAAAATGATAACTTCTGATACGGTAATTCCCTCCACTCACAAGATTAGCTAGAATCCCACACTGAATAGGAGGGACCGGTGCAAGGGAATGACAGAAGCACCCTTCAAAAGCATCTGAAGGAAACCCCTTGAAATGAGAGAGTCAGACCCGAAGACCTGACGAGGGGAACCACACCACTTCTGAACCAGGTACACTCTTTGCCCATACTTAAAATACATAAGAGATATGGGTGGAATGGTAGAAGAGCACATCCAAGTGGGAGAAAACTCCGGCTGGATAATGTGTTGAACTACACGATATGGAGGTCAATCCCACCACATAAAAGTGAGTAAACAATGAATGTGTCCCTAAATGTAGAGTGGCTAGGGCACGACAGACTGTATGGGTATGTCAACTATGTTCAAAACCCTCACCGATGGGAACTGACATCCATTCCGGGGTTAGGATGAGGATCATATTGTCTTCACCGCAAGTTAGAGAGATTGGAGGGAATCGATAACCTCTCCAATACCAAAACATGGCACCTGTAGTAGATTTGATAGATTGATCAGAGAACCAAACATCTGGTATAGAAAGGAAGTCTATATAAAAAAACTCACCTCCTGCAACATGGAAAAGAACTGGAACCACCCCAAAGCTGGACAGTAAAAGAAGAGACCTGGAACAGCCCATCTTCCTTAGCTGTGACCCACAACACAAAGAGTTTGATCGAGGGAGAAATATAGACAACCATAAACATGAGTGAAGACTTACACTGACTGGTTCACCTTAATTTCAACACCAGGCTATGAGGTACAGACATCCACGTGGTGGTAGGATGAGGACTCCCAATCAAAAGGCTGAACTGCATTTTTATGGCACAACTCCAGTGGTTGTGTAAATGATATCAGGAAGCCACGTCATCCAGCAAGGTGATGACACAACTCCTCTGGAGGCTACGTCTCATCTACATCAGCAGAATACTACTGCCCTACTCTCGACTGAATGGTTATAACCATCTTTTTATGGAACCCATTTAGGAGGGTGCCTGCATGGTTAACCAACCCAGTGGCTTGGAACTGGAAAGTGGTAAGGAATCCCACACTCCAGTGGAAGAAAGGGCGGTAAATACATGGTAGAGAGTCTGGAGAAACGTCACCACTAATTTGAAAAGCAGACCATACTAATTTATTCAGGCATAGCAGTGATGGGCAGCTATCACCTTCTGCTTTATCCATACAGTCCATGAGTGGTACGGTCTGGAACAGGCATGTTTATGAATAACGTTGTAAGGTTATTCACCTTCAAGTGAACTTGTGGAACACCCCATCTCATTGGTGAGCATTGTGAAGCCATGGAAGAGAATGCAATTCAACATGGCTGTGCAGTACATATTTCAACTGAAAGATACCTGGTCAGGTATGGCTCACCACAAAGCAGGATTCAAATAGTGACTAATGAGGCAAGGGCTGCTGAAAGGAAAGAAATAATGAATAGAAACTTACCCTGTTAGAGTCACACCAAAGTATGGAAAATGGTCACAGGTGGTAGACAAAAAAACCCATGAGAAAGAAACCATGATATGATGTAGATAAGGAGAGACAAATATATTAGGTGTAGTCCTCATGCCTGAATGTAGGAGTTCCCCCAATGGCCAATGAAGACGAGATGCAAGAAAAAGGTAAGGATGTCGAATCTGATGAGAAGACACCTGGAACAAAGTCTGGGAGGAAAATTACAAAAGGGAGTTAGCAAATGGGATCAAAAGCTGAACAAAATTGGTAAGGGTGGAAGTTGAAAGATCTCGAATTGAGAAAAACTGCCAAGGAATAAAGAGGCTTGGACCAGGCATCACAGAAAAAAGCCATACTGGCAATAGAAAAACGAAGAGCACAGACCATACATAGGAGTCGATCCGGATAGAAATGAGGATAAAGATGGGAAAGGAAAGGTATTAGGCAAAAGGAGGAGTTACCTCCCCTAGCCACCATTTTCTTGGGGTAGAAAGGAAAATCTGGATAAAGGAGAAGAGAGGAAGTGGAGAAAATGTACGTGAAACATCATGGGAAACAAATCCGACCTCTGACATACACAGGCATAGAGGAGAAGGAATTATGTTTGAAGGGAAAGTGAAACATGGAACACAAAAAAGTGATGCTTGTTTGTTTGTTTGTTTTTTGGAATTTTGCGCAAAGCTACACGAGGGCTATCTGCGCTAGCTGTCCCTAATTTAGT